AGCCCATGGCTTTCTCTTCAATCCACTCCCATTGCTTCTGCTCATCTTCATACAACTTCCGATTCAGTCTTGCAATGATGAGAAGTAAGAACGGTGGGTAAAATTGGCAGCTGTCCACACCATGACCCTCTGGATCCTCCTGGAACGGTAGCCTCATCAGAAACCGGACCAGGTAAGATCTGATCTCAGCCATTACTGCCCACAGCCACTAGGTTGGCTTGCTCAGATCCAGCTCCCTAAGCCTCTGATAGAACTTTGAGTCACTATTATTGAAGTCATCCTGGAGGTGGTTAGATAATATTTTAGTTTGTAGTTAGTTTTGTATTGCTTTATTTAGCGTAGTTTGAGTGTAATGTTGGGTTGGGTATTCATTCCATATTATACATTTTAGGGTGCTTAGGTGATTTCCATTGTGTGGCATAGTAATCCAAATTGGGACTTTTCTCTGTTAAGCAAACTGAGTGGTGTTAATTGAGTGCCAAATATTGCCTCAAGTAAATAAAAGCACTTTTTCACATAATATCTTTGATACTTGTATTCAACAAGTCAACATAAGAATTTTAATCATGGTTTTTATTTAGGTATCTAGGTTGCACAATGGATGGAACTCTTGACCCTAAAGCCTTAGAAAACCTGAGGGCCAATCTAGCCTCAAGTACTTATTAGATGTGAGACTCTGGAGAAATCACTTAACTTCTATCTGCCTTGGCTTTCTAATCTGTAAAATGGGAATAATAGTAGCACTTACCTCTCAGAGTTATTGTGAGGATAAAGTGTTTTTAAAAGCATATTTGAAAAGCACTTTGGGAACTTTAAAGCACTACAAAAATGCTTGTTGTTATTATTATTATCATTAGAGACAGTGGGCATGATAGCAAATCAATAGTGAGGTCCTTGGTTCTGACAGTCTCTTTTAATTTTCAAGAAAATTCCATTGGGATGAAGCAATTTTTAGACAAAGCATAGCCAACAACAAAAAGCCAACTTCGGCTCCACTCAAGAATATGATTGTGCCATATCCCGTGTATTTTTCACCAGACACTCCAGAAGGTCTTTGTTACTCTGAGGGTTTTTCTAACTGAGGGCCTTAGGCATTTGCTTTATGTGGCCAGAGGCACCAGGAGGTGCCTTTGGGGGCTTTTTTGGTTTGGTTTTGTTATGTTTTGCTGTGGGTGGGAGAGTCCCTGCAATAACCTCCTGTGCTTCCATTAAAGAGCCCCCATTGCCTTGCATCCATGTTTTTCAAAATCAGTTTCTAGGAAGCTATAGCCATTTTCCTCATCCTGGAAGTCAAAAGTTCCCAAGTATGACAGCAAATTGACTTTTGTGTAATTTCTTTAGTTTGTTGGTGCTGAGGAGCCTTTTACCATCTGAGGTTTCTGAGTGGTACTCAGAGGAAAATAGGTCTTTCCCTTGAAATAGCAGGAAACATATGGGAATTAGGGCTTCTGTGTTTAATAGTTTGGGGAACCAGAGTTTTTGCCAAGTTTGTACCAAATTCACTGTAGAAGGAAAGTCCTTTTCCTTCATGGAAAAACTTGATTGTTAAACTGAGACTGGATCTGTTAAGAATTGCAATTTGCACATTGGTTTAATTTGGAAGCTCACAATCTATTTCACTTTCAAAGAAGGTTTCCTTGGGTTTCGTTGCAGTTTCCTTAAATGCTGAAGTTTGCATTGGCGTATTCATCTACATTAACAGACATATGGTATGTGTAAAAATAAGTCACCAGCCAATATTAGAGATGGGAAAGTCAGTTATTATGCTGACAGGCTGCTGTTAGCCTGTGTTTTGGAAATGTCTTTCAATTCAGTACTGATCAGATTGTAAGAACCGAACATGTTGTCTACTGAGCTAAGAGACCTTTCTTTGATCTTTGCCATTTCTCCCTTTGGAATAACGTCCACATAAATATAAGAAGCAGTGTGACCTGACGTAAGGAGGCTGGTCCTGGAGTCAGGAAGACACAGGTCTTTAAGTACTGACTCCAGCCAGAGGGGTTGTGTGGCTACAGGCAAATCAGATAATCTCTCAGTGCTCTAGGCAATTTTCTAGGATTATAAATTGCAGAGTAGGTGCTAAGATACATTGCTAGAAGGAGTTCCTATACTAATGAAATCACAGGCCAGGTCCCTTTACACATACTTATAGCACAAATTCAAATGTGTCTATCTATGTAAATACCCACGTATGCAAACAAGCTCAGCATCCATAACTTCCCCTTTATATCTGGGTTTCTATGGACTAAATTTGAGGTGATAAAAGGGAATTCCCTGGCCTACAATACTATTGTTAATCGTCTCACCTCTCAGGGCCTCAATTTCTTCACCTGTAAAATGAGAATGTTGGATTTGAAGATCATTAAGGTCTCTTCTAACTCAAAATCTTAAGGACAATTGACTGTGGCTATCAGGAAATTTAAAAATCTGGAGAATTCATTAATTCAAAAGAATTATATATCCAGTCCTAACCTCTCTCTTGAGCTCTAGCATCAGATTACCAACTGAATGTTGAATATCTCCAACTGGACGTCCTGGAGACATCTCAAATTGAACATGTCCAAAACAGAACACATTATCTTTGCCTCTAAGTCTTCCCTTCTTTTAAACTTCCTTATTAAATTGTCAAGGTCTCCACTATCTTCCCAGGCCTTGATCTCTCCCTTACACTTACCTTACATTTCCAATCTATTGCCACATTTTGTTGTTTCTGCCTTGAGGGAACCTCTCATACACAACCCAGTTTCTCCACTCATACAGCTGTCCCCCTGGCACAGGCCTGCATGGAGGTTTCCAGTTGATCTCTCTGCCTGAAGTCACCCCTGTCAGTCCATCCTCTACTTAGGTATGTATCAAAGGCATCTTCCCAATGCTCAGGTCTGGCTTATTTGATAAACTCCTGTGGCTCCCTATTACCTCTAGAACTAAACATAAAACCCTCTTGTTTGGCACTTAAAGCCCTTCACAGCCTGCCCCTTCCTGTCTTTCCAGTCTGTTTAGCTTTACTCCCCTTCAGCAATATTGGTCTTCTTGCTGTTCCTTGCACATAATACTCCATCTCCTGTTCCCATGCCCTTTCACTGGCCTGTCCCCCATCCCTGGAATGCTCTTCCTTCTCACCTATGCCTTCTGGCTTCCTTTTTTTTTTTTTTTTCAAAGAGTCAGTCCAAATTCTAACTTCTGAGGGAATTCTTTCCCCATTCCCTCAGCTACTAGCTTTTTCCCCTCTGAGATTATTTTCCATCTACTGTGTAAATATTTTTTGCATGTTGTTTGCATGTTTGCAGAGATTTGCCTGTAGCCACACAACTACTCTGGTTTGAGTCAGTACTTAAAGACCTGTGTCTTCCTGACCCCAGGACCAGCCTCCATACATCAAGTCACACCACTTCTTATATTTATGTGGACATTATTCCAAAGGGAGAAATGACAAAGATCAAAGAAAGGTCTCTTAGCTCAGCATACAAAATGTTCGATTCTTACCATCTGATCAGTACCGAATTGAAAGACATTTCCAAAGCACAGGATTGTTTGCATGTTATCTCCCTCATTAGAATGTGAACTCCTTGAGGATGTGAACTATGTTTTTACCATTTAAAAGAAATTTCCAGTGCTTAGCACAGTGACTGGTACGCAGTAAGCACATGATAAATGCTTGCTATCTGACTGACCACTGTCAAAAAGCCAGTACAGACCTGAATTCAAAATCTGGTCTCAGACCCTTGACACTTACTATTTGTGCGACCCTGGGCAAGTCACTTAATCCTGATTGCCTCACCAAAAAAGAAAAAAAAAAGCCAATACATTCAGATAGTGATAGTATCCCACCTCAGAAACTTATTAGACTAGATCCTAGGCACATTACTACTATTTGCCTCAGTTTCCTTGTCTATAAAATTAGGATAATAATAGCACCTGCTTCACAGGATTATTGTGAAAATAGAATGAGATAATGTTTGTAAAGCATTTTGCACACCTAAAAGTGCTATCTCAATGTTGTTGTTATCTTCATTGCTGTCATCATCATCATCGCCACCATCTTTGTCACATTGTCATCACCATGGTAATTAAGGACTTTCAGGCTCACTAAGGTAGTCACACTACTACTATCTCCTCTTCTCCAACATTGGGTCCACATATTTGTCTAATGTCAGTTCACTTCACAATTACCTTTTTATGATTTGCTTTTTAGCTTGTGGTCTTTCTTACCAAAATATTTTACTTTCTACAAAGGCTACTATCACTTCTTTTCTCTAAATACTTTTATGAGGTTGAAAAATGTTTATTGAACATGAATTTTCTTATTATAATCTGAATTCCTTATTGCTCTGAAGTCTTGAAGCACTTACCATTGCATTCCTCATTTGATTATCTATCAATCATGGAGTCAGGAAGATCTGAATTCAAATCTAGCCTCAGATACCTCCTAGCTGTGTGACCCTGGGCAAGTCATTCAACCTGTCTCCCTCAGTTTCCTCATCTGTAAAATGGGGATGGTAGCAGTATCTACTTCCTAGGGCTGTTGTGAGGATCAAATGAGAAAATATTTATAAAGCAGTTCACAAAACTTAATGTATATATAAATGCTATATAACAGTAGTAGTAATAATAATAATACTTATTATTTGTAATTATTAGAAAAAGACCTAGTTCAATCTATACCTGAATAAAAATCTCTTCTCCAACATCCCCCACAAGTGGTCATCAAGTCTTTGCTTGAAGATTTTTAGTGACAAGGAGTTCTCATGTGCTCCTTTGAATTCTTAGTTCTTTTCATGCTAATATGTCTTGTTTTCCTAACCTAAATGGAAGCTCCGCAAGAAAAGAGACTGTTTAATACTTATTCACATCCCTCTGACAAGGTCTATCACAATGTCTTGCACATAATAAATATTTATTTGATTAATCACAAATGTTCTCATATAAGTGCTTTCTTATGCCGAGAATTTATGTGACCTCTGAAATTATTATATATCTGTTCTTTTCCTCTGGTATTTCAGGTTCTTTTAAGAAAAAAAGTAACTTCAGTACTGAACCCAAGATTAAATTCGAAACAGAATTTTGGGCCTGGTAAGTTTGGAAATTCTTGGTCAAGATCAGAGGGGCTACTTGATTAAAAAGACTAGCAGCATCTCAGCACTGCATTCTCAGAAGATCTCCTGTCTTTTATGAAACTTTTGCAGCATGAAACATAGCACATTTAGGCTGGAAAGAATCATAGAAATGATCTATTCCAACACCCTCAAAATGAGGAAATGGGGGCCTAGAGAGGGTGAGTGACTTCTTCAAGATCACAAAATAAGTTAATGGAACTAGAGCTGAAGTTTTCTAACTCTCACAGGGCCATAGACTATTAAGTTGGAAGGGACTTTAGATGTCATTTAGGCCAACCACTCAACAAAATATTCATTTGTTTCTTTTCACCATGCCCAACACTCTCTACAATTTGACTCACTGTCTTCTTTCTTCCCTTCTTCCTTTTCTCTTCCTTTTCTTTAGTTCAGTAACAGACTTATTTAGAAGCTAAGTCACAGTCCTCATGTTTCTTTCCCTTTTCCTAGGGAATTTCATAGTAGGTTCTTCTACTCTCTTTATGGGACCACCTACACATACTCACTTTTTCTGTGGCTCTCCTACCCCTATTTCCCCAAAACAACAACACAAAATGAAAAAGCAAAGCAAAAGCAACTCACCATCTTCAGGTGGACACCTTGGTGGAACCAGACCCTGCTGAATGCTAATGAAAAAATCAATAGACTAAGCACCCTATATCTTGAATTGTTGAATCGGAAATCTGATCACTTTAGACTTGTTCTTGACCCTCAGAATGTCATCTGTAGTTTGAACTATAATTAAGAGTTATTCTCTTTATCTCCTGCGTGGAATTCTTAAAGCTCATAAGCCTAGTAGATAAAACTTTCTATACTGTGATTCCCTTAATTTAATGGCATTAAACTCTAAGGAAACTCCCAACTTAACCCCTGTTGCCCCTGAATAGAATCTCTGCTGGGCTGGGAAATCTAGCTTGCTCTCTGAAATATGGAGAGCTCAGTTTGAAGCCCAGATCTATTACTTACTACATGTGTGAATTACTACCTTGGCAAATTACTTCATATTTCAAGGCTTTAGTTTGTTCATATTTAAAAGGAAGTTGTTGGACTTGATGATTTATCTATAAGGTCACATCTGGCTCTAAATTCCATGATATTTCCACTACGCCATGCTTTATGATAATGCTTTTTAACTCATGATGGCTTTGACTAAAATTCAGATTATATAAAGTAAAATTATTTACCTGGTGAAATGCTTAGTTGCCCAATAATCAAATGAGATAATATTTTAAAGTGCTTGGCTTAGTGTACCTGGCACATAGTGGGTGCTTAATAAATGTTTGTTTTTTTCTCTGTTCTATCCTACCTCCCAATGCCAATGATTACAAAGATGGCTAATTTATTTTGCACTCTTAAAAGTCCTCTTGGGAGCAGATGGGTTAATATTTTTTAAAAAAGAAAAATATAGCCCAAAATATATTCTAGTGACTTAAGCATGTAGTAACATGCTTATATCTCTGGAAGATATAAAAGACATTGGAGTTTAAATTCATGTAATGACCAATCTTGATTCCAGAGAATAAAACCTATTCCCTTCTTGATAGAGAGGGTGGGAAATTGCTTATTGGTGAAGAATTAGTAATTATTTGACTATTAAATGAGACCATTGTGAATCTTGGATATCAAAATCCTTTGTTCATAGAATCACAGACTTTTAGAGATGGAAGGGATAATAGAGAGAATACAGTTTAAATCTCCCATTTGAGAGACAATAAGCAAATTGAGTCTGAGAAAGTGATTTGTTCACTTTCATAATTCAAAATTGTGGCTTTCGGACTATAAGGAGCCCAACTGATTCTTTGCTATCCATTTTCCTTTATGGGTACAGAGTAGCAATATTGTTTAGAGAAAAGGACTTAAACCTGGGTCAGAAGTGGTTGTTGTTCAGTTGTGTCTGACCTTACACGACCAATTGTCCATGAGGTTTTCTTGACAAAGATACTGGAGTGGTTTGTCATTTCCTTCTCCAGTGTGTCCCCATTTTACAGATGAGAAACTGAGGCAAATGGGGTTAAGTGACTTGCACAAGGTCACATAGCTAGTAAGTGTTTGAGGCCAGATTTGAACTCAGATTTCCCTGATTCCAGGCCCAGTACTTTATCTATTGCACTACCTAGCTGCCCCTGAAGTCGGAAGATCTAGGTTCAAATCTTGATTCAACCATAGGCAAGTAACTTTGGTTCTCTGAGCCTCAGTTTCCTCATCTGCTTAATGGTAATAATAATGCTTGTATTACCCATTTCATATAGGCATTGCAAGGAAAGTACCTTTCAAATGTATTCTGTAAATGTATTTTTATTATTTAAGTTCAACTATCTCCTTGTGCTAATGTTTTAGTTATTATACTAGTTTTATTTTCCTGATACATCAGTTGGGCTGTAAAGATACAAGCTTTTAATCTCCAGTTCAAATCTCAGTTTAATTTGAGAAATGTATAGTAAAAAATCCTAAAATGCAAAAAGGTATACAAATATGTCATAAAAGATTAAATTATGAAATAAAAGATTAAATAGAGAATTTTGGAGGAAAAAGAAAGAGGAAGCAAGAAAGAAAGGAAAGAAAGAAAGGAAGAGAGGACAAAGGAAGGAGGAAAGAAAAGCAAGGAAGAAAGAAGGAAAGAATTGAAAGAAAAATGGAAGAAATAAAAAGAAGATAAAGAATAAAGAAAGGAAGGAAGAAAAAAGAAACCCTCAAACTCAATGGTTCAATCATAAAAACCATGATTAAAGCAATAGAAAGAAAAACTTGAGGTGTCTTAGAAATATAGAATGCCTGAGTCGGAAAGGTCATGAAAGGTCAGATATTTTTTATTCATATGAAAGTGTTTAGGAAAAAGAGGCGGACAGTAAGTTCACTTTGTGTAATCTGAATTTCAGTATAAGTGACTATTTGTTAAAAAGCATTATCATAGAAAGTATGATGTATTAGAAGTATCATAGAATTTAGAACTAGAAATGACAACACCTTCCTTTTAAATATGAACAAACCAAAGGCCTGAAATATGAAGTAATTTGCCCAAGGTAGTAATTCACACCTGTAGTAAGCAATAGATCTGGGCTTCAAATCAAGCTCCTCTGAATTCCGATCAGGAAGCTCATTCATTTACACCAAGAGATACCAGCCTGGGAATCACAAACTTAGGTTCTTGTCCAGGCGGTAACAGGAATGAGTTAAAGGATCTTAAGCAAGATATAGTTAGTATTTACATAGCTATACACAGACATGTTAACTTTTCTGTTTCTATTTCCTTATCTGAGAGAAAAGGATAATAGGTCGTGCACCACAGTTCTGATCAAACTTCGAAACCATTTTGCAACTTTTAGAAGCAGAAAGTTGCCTGGGGCAAGTGGGTAAGTGGCTTGTAGAGGTCACAGAGCCAGTAAGTCGTCAACGGCTAGACTTGAACCAACATTGTTCTGATGAGAGACCTGCTCCCCATCCTCTAGACTATGCCACTGGCAGGGTCAAATAATTTCTTGTTTTCATGGGCCCCAATTTCAAACATAACTGAATAAATTACAATCTGAGAAATGTGTAGCTAAAAATCCTAAAATGCAAAAAAGGGGTGTAACTACATATTAAAAGATTAAATACATAGAGCATTTTGGAGAAAAAAGATAAGGAAAGCAAGAAAGAAAGGAAAGGAAAGAAGGAAGGAAAAAAAGAAGGCAGGAAGGAAAAAAAGGATTATTATTACTCTTGATGTCAATGCTACAACAGACTTCTGTATTATTTTGTTACTTTTCTCTGGAATAGGAACATTTTTACTAAAATAGAAAAGGCAAAAGGTGAAAATATTTTGCCAGGAGCCATTTTGGTTATTAAACATATCCCTGTAGATATTTATGATCATTGGATCATGGAATAAATTTTGTCTTGCTAATAGCTAGTTCAGATTATGCTATTCAGGAGAAATCGTTTATGATATTAATAAAGAGATGCTGCACTGACAGGTTTAATAGTAATTGAAACTGAATAGTGTTATTGGTGATATATTACACATGTGAAATAATGTTTTCCACTGCTGAATATCATTCTGTCTCACTTTTGTTTAATAACTATTGTGATCTATTTCATTTCTCTTGTTCTTTTATTATAATTCTCTGTGAATATAATTTAGTTTAGTTAGGAAGTTTCATTAATTACATATAAATTGTAATAAGTCTGGGCTGGAAGTAATGAAGTTATGCACACATGTCAAAATATCTGGGAGTAAGGGATAAGAACCTAACTAATCAAACTGTAAATGATGAAAATAAATGACTTTGGAACAAGGAAAAATGTGGACTTTGAAAGTTTAGAGTGAAGAAAAAGTCTCCAACTCAATTCTATTTTGCAAGTGGCTGCATTTGACAAAAAGAGAAAAGTGGCAATAAAACATCTCCCCCATAAATTTGGGGCACACTTTCCAGCATTAGCAGGGAGAAAAAACATACATCGAGGTGATGAGTAGAAAGGCTAGTTGAGATTATGCTATTCATGGCATGTGCTTTGGCTGTTAGACACCATTACCCTTGGCTTGGGGTGGGGGCAAAGGAAAAGGAGAATAAATTTTTCCCTCCTTCCACCTTCTCTAAGAGTTACAAAGGAAAAGAAAATGTTTGAGTTTCCAAGACCTAAAGGCAAGAGACATTTAATTGCATCTATAGAAGCAGTTAAGTAGTTCATTGGTAAATTCAGCCTTGGACACTATTTAGCTATGTGACCTTGGAGAAGTCACTTCACCCCTGCTTGCCTCAATTTCTTCTTCTGTAAAAGTGGGAATAATAACAGGTCATTTGTCAGATTTAATGTGTTATATAGATGTTAATTTCCTTTCCCCATATAAAAGAGTCAGAAAATGACTCTGAGGGAAGGCAGTGGACTTGCTCCCGAGCATGCATTTGCTTACGGTGGTGCCGTTTTCTTACATACTCATTTACATGGGTGAACATAAAAGACTCAGGGTTTAAAATTGGG